CAGCATGCTAAGATCAGATGCAAGCAAGCTAGAACAGATGAAAGAAAAGAAGCTGAAGAAGAGGAAGACCAAAGAATACCTGATCAAGCAATCTCACCTAGAAACAAGGAAGATCAAAGAAGCACTGGAAATGCTAAAGCAGCAAATAACAGCCATAGTCAAGAAGATCAGCAGATACGAAGCTCAAATTGCACAATATAGGCAGAATCTTCAGTTTCAGTTGAATCAAAAATGTTTCTACCAGTCCATCAATAGGGAGACTGCAATGAACCAGTCAACACCTGACAAAGAAGAAACAACACAGTATGGGATAATCCAAAGAAATACAAGAAGAATGCAACTTGGATAAAGGAGGTGGATAAGAATTTTTAAAAAGCTGAAATGAAAGAACCTGTAAACAGCAGAAATGATGGAGAAAAGGACAAAGAAGATCAAGAATTGGCCAGCACCAGGTGAAGATGAATTGCATGGTTTTTGGTTAAAACATCTGACTGCTCTGCACCCACTCATTGCCAAGCAGTTTAACAACATACTGCAAGGAGGTGAAATTGAACATCTGGCAAAACCTACCTGATAATGAAAGAGTCAACAAAAGGGGCAGCACCAGGCAACTACAGGCCAATTACCTGCTTACCAACAACTTTCAAATTGCTAACTGGTATGGTAGCTGATGCAGTCCAACAGTATCTAGTTGAAAACAACTGACAAGATGATTTTGGAAAACTGCAAAAGAAGGAAGACCAACTTGAATGTAGCTTGGATTGATTACAAGAAGGCATCTGACTCCCTGACATATGACTGGATAATCAAGTGCCTAGAAAAAACAGGAGTCAGTAGAAACATCAGAAGCTTTGTGCAGAGATCAATGGCACAATGGAAGACATAGTTGCTGGTCAGTGGTGATAGACTGGGAGAGGTTAATATCAAGAGAGGAATCTTTTAAGGAGACTCACTATCACCACTACTGTTTGTCATTGCATTGATTCCTCTGCCAACAATACTGAACAAGTCAGGCTGTGGCTATCAAACATCAAAAACATCTGCCAGGCTATCCCACCTCCTTTACATGGATGCTGTATGGAAAAATAGCATCTGAAATGGAATTGCTGTTCAACACTGTCCAAATATACAGCCAAGATATTGCAATGGAGTTTGGACTGGACAAATGTGCCACCCTTATCAACAACAATAGTGTTGATGATAAGGGAAAAATAGTGAAAA